TGTTTATCAAAATATAGGAGGTATAGGAATTGAGTTTTTCGAGCAAGAGTTGGCAAATGACTCCAATATATTTTATGAATAGATGTTTAAATTCAAATGCTATCGAATGATCATCCGTACCAATTAATCAATGTCTCCAATATCTCCTCTACCTCCTCTATATCCATCAACAAAAAATAATACAAGCTACCGGAAATTCAAATAAGGCATCATACGCTTTAATTTGTCGATAATACTTATCTTTATAAGCAAATGAATTGGTATCTAGAACAACACATGCTAATTGAATAATAGTTTATATTTTGAGATTTCCAATTTTTCCATTTATTGAATAGTTTTTACAGAATCGCGTTAAAGCAGCAATAGTGCCATCATGTAGTATCATTGTGTATAAATCAGCAACATGAAAAGTTATAGATAATGTTGTTCAGGTGAGATCTATACCATTGATGAATGTAATATCTTTTGTCACATGATTATAAATTGGAGTAAGAAGTTTATCAAGAAAACTGGATATTTGTCTAGCAGGTGCATTAATTGAAGCAAGAATAGGTCAAACTGATAGTTCTGGCCATAAGAAACGTATGATAGAAAAAATATTTAAATAACAAACGAACGGTTTTATCCTATGTACTTTAAGATTGAAATAAATATGAGCAAATTCTAATATATTTAGATTTGGATATATTTGTCTATATTGATCTTTCGTTATTTTTTACGCTTTAATAGATCATCAAGTAAAGTTAACACAGAATGTAAATCATCTGCTAATGGATAAATGCCATTGGTGATTTCTTGATATGCGTTTGTTTTTGTTATATAACTTTTAATTTTTTCTTCAGATTCATGTGGATCCATAAAGAAAAATAATTTGCTTTTATCAGTTTGTCAGACAGCAATATTAGCTTTGCATAATTGTCGTTGCATTGATTTTATCATCTTGTACATATATCGAGCATGTCTTTCAAGTTTTTTTAGTATTGGTTTCGTATATAGCTGTTGAAGTTAATTTTTTATTATAGCAAAATATTCAATAGCAAGTGTATCACGTGTTGAAAACATGTAATCGATAAGATTTTTAACATTTTCATTCTAGAGGCGATTGTATGCTCGTTCAGTAATTTTTTCCATAGGTTGTCGATAAAAGAAATGCCTTTGACAGGGTGGAATAAATTTCAAACCTTTATTAATGACCCATGTAAATATTTTTTGAATCAAAACGCGTTCGAATCGATATGTCAAATTTAAAAAATGTATTACAATCCGTCTTAGGTTTGATCTGCTTCGCCATCAATATTACCTAGCGCTGATCTTTACCTAACTACAGGCCAACGGAAAGTTTAAATTTTAATGTTTCTAAAATGATAGAAATGAGGTTAGACCAAGTAAAATAGCGATTAGAAAGCAAGTGTACATACCATTGAGCCACATGTGATCACATTAGTTGTAGAACGAAACAGAATCTATATATGCATCGTCTATTATAAACTTATTCACAGACACATGTGTCAATGAGGTGCTGTGCATATTTATTAATTATTGCTGTATATAAAAATATACTTATTTATCCAAAAAAAGAGTTTGCATTAGATAAGTCCAACTACATAATTTTAAAAATATCTAATTATGGAAACTATTCGTTTTGAAAAAACAATTCGGTTATATTATTTCTAAAATTTCATTATTTTCAATTTTAGAGTACCAATGTTTTAGGATTAAAATATATATACATTCTGTTTTTCTTGAGAACTCTATATACTTCAAACTAAATTAATTTTATAAAAGAAACTGTGATATATATTTTCTAGTGAATAGAAAACGAATCTTTTATATATTTTTTCCTATAAACGAGTTTCACAATCGCGTTTCGTTTGTCTATTGATCGAAGTAATGGAATGCGTCTAGGCGCGGTTGCAAGTAAAACCACGTCTCGACGCAAGAAATGTTTCACTAGAGACGCGATTCCAAACCAAAACACGTTAAGATGCGCTTGAAGTCTTAGTCCAGTCGTGTTTAGATGCGGTCTGTGCAAAATCGCGTGCAGACGTGGTTTTTATTGTCTTTTGACTGAGTGCAGACGCGTTTCACAAGAAAAACGCGTTTAAACACACAATTTCTGCGTTTAGTGTTTACATGGGAATAAGCAATTGTTCATTCGATAATGTTATAATAGTATTGGCAAAATATAAACAAAGAAACATATCTGTATGGTTTCGAATAATTAATTTTGATTTGCTCCGACGCCATCGTTGTTCGTTGTATCGTCCTGTGATGCCGGAGCTTCGTTCGAAAAAAGATTTCAATTTTTGTTGTGTAGTATAATCAGATCGTTGGATCATATGTTTTTCACGTGCTTCAATAGCTACCATTAGTTGTTTGAATATATCTGAATCTGAATTGTTTATCTTTAATTATCGGTAATAGCTACCAATTTCTTTTTTTCATTTTTCGCTATTTTATTTCAATAGCGTACTTTTTCTTTACCAGCTGCTATACTTAATTCAAGCATTCCATATTTAAATCGGCCAATTTTTTTTAAACGACAAGCATATAATATTGTTTTTTGCTTGTTATCATCATCGTTAGTAGAAGATTTTTTCGATCGGCTAAGTATTTTATCAATTTTATAAAGTGAATAATCAAGAAGATTGAATGCAGATGGTAAACAATTCGAATGGATGCGATATTTTAATATCTCAATTTGTTCTTCCATTTGTTTTGTGAAACTCACGTATATTTTCGAAAAAAATAGTGGATGTAAGTGTTAAGGTCAAGGTTTTCCGGCTCCCCCTCCCCCATCCCATTACAGACACATAACAACGGAAGAGAACATTACAGACATACCCCCATTACAGACCTAGCAACCGCGCACAAGACACTTCAGATTCTATACAATATTTCGATGCTTTCAGAATTATTTGAAAAGAACTATTTTTTAGTTTACAAATAATGCATTAGGATAATAGATTTGAAGGATATACGAAAGTTCCACATTTCAGCTTCAAAGAAGTTGCGCTAACAAGCTTTTTTATTATAAATTGCTTTCCATATATTACGAATAGAACGAATTTGTTGTTTATTAGGTTTCAAATCATAAACATATTGTACGAAACGATGATCTGTTGAGTCTAATTTTAACATTTTTTTATTATATTCAAATGGTTGCTTTAATTTATGTTGACCTTTTCCGACAACAGCTGTAACCATTGCTGACATTGTTGTAAAGTCTAATTGAGGATTCATTTCAGATAGTCATTGAGGTAATGGTGGATTGCCAAACTCTTGTAATGCTTGTGATCTTCTTGAAGTTGTCGTTGAAGAGTTGTTAGATGTTGTACGATTAATGTTTTTGAGCGACCATAAGTTTGATGCATACTAGTCATAGCAGCCCATTTTTTTGATACGCGGCCGGACCAAATATTTTCTTGCATACTAATATCATAATAATACTTCCATTGACTTTCTCGTAATTGTACATAGAATAGACGATGTATTAAATAAGCATATTGACGAATATAGTTAATTTTTTTCACTTGTATTTAATCGTTTAACAATTTTATCAGCACCTTCTAATGAACTGACTAACATTTGTTTAAATATACGATTGGTTACTTGTAAATAATCAGATATATAAGAATAGTCATTATTATGATGAATTTCTTTTTTAGTTTTTGAACGTTACTTGTCTGATGTTCCATTTGTAGTTACTTGTTCAATTTCATTATTGGCCATCTTTTGTTTTTTTTTTCGTGATGGTTGAGAAATAGATAATTGACTTAAAGACTTATCAATTGTATTTAATGATTGTTTTGATGATATTTCATTTCTTTTACGTTTGATTGATTCTTTTACTAAGAAGAAAGGTAGATATTACTTGATCAATTGGTACATTGACCTGTATATGATCATTAGCATCTTCTTTCATTTGTT